AGCTCCAAGACAGCAAGAGAGTTTGCAGCACTAATGAAATCCCAGCTTTAGGGAACTTAAGGTATGTGTGTCAAGAGAACTTCTGGTCGTCTCAACCTGCTTTGCTCCTTCTAGATTGATCATACGTTGTCGCATGGCTTAAGCAACATGGCTGCTGACCGGTGATCAAATTTCATGTATCGGCGTGACGTTCAACAAGCTCGACTCTAAATAACTACAAAGTCTCGTCGTTCCTTTAATCGACCTGAATGACAAGGCTCAAAGAAATAGTGTGGATGCAATAGCCTAATGTACTGCACAATACCAAGTTTTACTGCAAAAAGCCTAAGTGTGTTTCCTATAAAGTCTCTAGCTCGTGTGTACGTAATTTCATGCGATATGATGACGACATTTTTATCATCTTACCCTGCGTTGTGTATAAAGTTATGACATAGTGCGTTCTTACTGCATTGCCACATAATAATTAATATTGCTGAGCATATCATTGGTGTGTATTACCTAATATTTGTGGATATATATCACTCTAAAGAAGAGTCTCCTGCCAGATATGCTGGTGCTTCTAAATACAAGCGAAATATGAACATCTATAAATTATTCAATTTTGTGTCTACGGAAATGTAAGGTGAATATACACAATAGTACAGTACCCTATTGTGTGACTTACTTGTCCTCCAGCCTACACAACGGTTAATCTGATATCGTATGGTACTTGATCATTAAGGTCATGGTATCCGTGTTGGTGACGTTATTCAACCTTCCTTTCTCATATTGGCTGAGTAGGCGATCAAACGATCCAGCTTTATTTTTCATCCTACATACCCGATCGTATATTGTATTATGGCTTGGAGGAAGACACTAGAGTTTACATAGAGCAAGTAAACGGATCAATGCACATACTTCAGCATCTTGATAGCTAAGAGATTTCTGACATCTTTATATCGTCAGATATTAAACAATATCATTGATTCGTAATCACTTGATGGACGTGAAGTTACGAAAGGTTGCGCGAATGACGTTTAGAAAATGGAATAGTCTGGTAATCAAAGCCCAAATAACGCCAACACTACTTGGTTTTTTCTCTGTGTGATGATTCCTGTGCTTCTTAATGATAAAGACAAGAGCTTTTGTGTTTCATGTGCTGCGTTCATGCTTAGCCATACATTAAGAAAAAAATCTTCCCCCTTGGTATATAGTGTAAGTACGAATTATTCGCGAAATTGAAATTTGGATCTTATGCATCTGCTCTCCGTGTATTGTGTAGCGTTTGATGGCTCGTTGCTATCAAGTGAGCATTGTTCACAGCTTTTACTACTTCAAGGTGCATCACCATTGCGTATCATGCTTGTAAAATTGTAATTAATAACTTTTTTTAAATCAAAATGCAGCATCCCATCTCGTGCTTTTGCTACTATGCACGAGTCAAGTGCTTCGTCTTGCTGGTGGACACACTAAAGGTTTAAACTCTCACAGTGAAGTCGATGTTGTGCTCTTTGTGCTCCATTTTATGGCAATTATGGCTACTATCGTTTTTTCAATTGTTCAGACTGGAGTCGCCATGATGAACCACTTGTCAGCGTCACTAGTTATTGGTGCTAGTATCACAGTTGCAGCTTTGAGCTTTTACGCTGTTGAGACGTTGTTTGAATTTCTTCAACATACAAAAAGTAAGAAAATTATCACATTTGTTGTATTTCTCGGTGGTATTGAAGAAATCATGTGGAGAGATCCGACAATACAATCAAGTGAAAGGTTGGCAATACTGATGCATTGGAAAGTCATTAGTTATGCTATAACGGCGATAATTGCAGTTATAAGGATGGCCATTTATAAAGAAATAGACGAATGTGTGGAAGAGTACAAGCAGTCGAAATTAGCCAAAAAAACTGTGAAAGACAGTCCACTAGACCGAATCGGTTGGATTTCGCAATTGTCTTTCAACTGGATCTCTCCATTCATTGTACTAGGACAAAAACGTCGACTTGAACTTAACGATATACCAAACCTACCTCGACGTGAAGCTACGTCTATTGTTACAGCAAAATTTCATGAAGAATGTCGACGCGAACTTGGTTCCCATCAGCCATCGTTTTTGCGTCTCGCTCGAAGATTATATGGCGCTAATATCCTAATTTTCGCCCTTTGGTCAACTTTCAACAAAGCCATTGGACTTGCAAGTCCGTTGTTGCTTAAATTCTTTCTTGATTGGGCAGATTCGTCGACTCCGTCACTCACCATGGGCTACATTCTCGCAGTAGCAATGGGAACGAGGTCAATTCTTGCTGCCGTGTCAGGAACGCAGTACGATCTCGCGTGGAAGAGGTTTGATCTGCAGGTACGAGCTGGATTGCAGTCAGCTATTTACATGCGGACGCTCGAGCTGTCAAGTCAAGAAAGAAGAGAGGCCGGAGGACTTGGCCGTATCACGAACTTGTTATCGGTTGATGTCGGACGCATCGTTGGTATGCCTGGCCAATTATTTGAGCTGATATTAATTCCGATTGAAATTCTGGTTGCTCTCATCGTACTGAGTCAAGCCGTCTCAGTCGCTTTTATTGCTGGACTCGCAGCACTTGCAATCATGTTACCACTACAAACGATTTTGGGACGGAAGATTCAAAGTGTCACGAAAGACATGATGCGATATCGGGATACACGCGTAAGTCTTGCTGCAGAGAGTTTGAAAGCGATTCGGACTCTTAAATTGCTTGGATGGGTGAATTTGCGACGTGAGACCATGAGTCATGCTCGATCTCTTGAAATGGGAAGACTGCAACTGCGCAAGTATTTGGATGCTTTCTGCGTCTTCTCGTGGGCATCTACACCAGTAGTTGTACAGGTTGCCGTCTTTGGAACAGCTATCTTTCTTGGTCAAGCCATTACGGCTGCAAATGCCTTCACTGCAATTGCTCTCTTGGATCGTCTCATCTTTCCCATGAACTACTTTCCTTGGATTATCAGTGGATTTCTTGAAGCACGAGTATCAGCGCTAAGAATTCGTGACTTCTTGTTCAACAAGAATGACTTGAAAATGAGTGAACGGATGAGCACAGAAAGCCATGCTAGCGAGTTTAAGCAGGAAGTTGATGCTATTGTGAGTATTCACGACGCCGAATTTCGCTGGAGCATGATGACAGACGTGAGTATGGAAGACAACAACACTGACCCAGATACACCTCTTTTGATCAACACATCGTTTTCGTCTAGCGAAACTCATCAATTTGTCTTACGCATTAAAGAACTGCAACTTCGACCAGGATCGATCTACATCGTGTGTGGTCCAGTCGGTGCCGGCAAATCTTCCCTTTTGCTGGCTTTAATAGGCGAAATGTCCTGCATTTGTGGTCGCTTTGACAAAAAGTTGTCGACCTGTTCTTACTCTCCACAAACTCCGTGGCTCTTCCGTGGAAGTGTCGAAGCAAACGTTACATTGTGCAAAGACGATAAGGAAGAAAGCGCAGTTTCGATTGATTGGGATCGATATGAGCATATTATTCGTGCTTGTGAGCTTGAGGCTGACTTTCGCAATGTGAAGTGTCCTGTAAACGTGGCAGAGAGTGGCGGGAATTTTAGCGGTGGTCAACGCGCTCGAATCAATCTTGCACGTGCATTATACCAACGTGCTCATCTCTACTTATTAGATGATCCTTTTAGTGGATTGGACGGAGAGACGGCAAGCAAAGTGGTTACCAATTGCTTCAATCCCAACTCCAGTGTCGTTTCCAAGGACGCAGCAGTTGTCGTTGTGACGCATTCGCTTAATCTACTGCCATATTTTTCTCCAGACGCACATATTATTGTTATGGATGATGGATGCATTGTGGAGCAAGGAACATATGACGTCTTGAAGACATCAACATTACACAGTCGCTTTATGTCTTTGTTATCGAGCTCTGGTAGTCAAGAGCGTACGAATGATACGGCAAAATCTGATCGAGAAAAACCTGAGGTCAACATTTCAATTGACGCGAAAAGCCTTCCTGAAAAAATAGCACAAGTATCTCCGGTTTCTAGTGAAGATGATGAAGAGCGGGAAACTGGTGCTGTCAGCTGGAGAATTTGGAAAAGTTATGCGCTGGATGTTGGTTGGATCCTCGCAATCGTCATAGTATGGATGGTTTTAGCCATGCAGATCACTCGGAATTCGCTCGACTGGTGGATTGCTGTGTATACAGATGGCAAACATGCTATCTCTCCACGAAAGTTTGCGCTCGTGCTACTGTACATTGCATGTGCAAATATTCTTGTCGTCTTTCTTCGCTCTTTTCTCTTCGCCTATGGTGGTTTACGTGCAGCTCGAGTTACGTACAAGAAATTGGTACAGAGTGTATTTGCAGCTCCACTGTCATTTTTTGAGCGCACACCTGCTGGACGAATACTCAATCGATTGAGTGGTGACACTTGCACCGTGGATGAAACATTACCATTCATTTTAAATTTGTTTCTTCGAGATGCAGCAGAATTGCTGGGTTTGGTTGTCATCCTTTTTTATGGAAATCGTTTGGTACTCGTGGTGTTAGTTCCTTTGAGTATCTTATACTTCCATTTACAACGTGTGTATCGCCCAAGCTCGCGTCATTTAAAGCGATTAGATGCAGTGACACAATCACCACTTTTAGCCATGTTCACTGACACACTGGATGGACTCACTGTTATCCGTGCGGCACAGAAGCAACAGCAGTATGCTCATGATTATGGCGAGCGATTAAATCGTAGTCAACGGGTCTCATTTCTCGGTTCAACTACTAGCGCTTGGTTTGGATTGCGTCTTGATTTACTGGGTGTCTGTGTTACGTCATTCGTCGCAGTCTTTGCCGTCGCCGATTTTCATATGACTGGAAAGGTAAATCCTGGCACTTTGGGCCTTACATTGACGTACGCACTTCCAATTGTGGGCAAGTTGAACGCCCTTTTGAACAGCTTCGTCGACTCGGAGCGTCAAATGATTGCAGTTGAGCGTGTGAAAGAGTATATGGATCTAGAATCTGAAGAACATGTCGTGAAGGCTGATAGTCTTTCAAAAGTGAGCAAATTACCAAACATGTGGCCTTCAGCAGGTCATATTGTGATCAAGGATTTGACAGTAACGTATGGTCCTCCAACTTCAGACTTAAAGCATCACGAGTTAAGGCCTTCTCAAGCAAAAGCGCTAGCTTTAAACAATGTGAATTGTGACATCCCTGCAGGCCAAAAGGTTGGAATCTGTGGACGCACAGGTGCTGGAAAGTCGACGCTACTAAACGCTCTATTTCGCACTGTACCGTGGGAATACGGTAGCAACATTATAATCGACAATGTGCCTTTAAGCTCAGTAGGCCTTGACGATCTACGATCGCGACTGACGTATGTTCCGCAAGATGTTGTGCTCTTTTCAGGAACTATCCGTTCAAATCTTGATCCAAGTGGAGTAATCGACGACGAGCAGCTTTGGACTGTCTTACGTAAGTGTGGTGGACTTGCAAATACAATCGCCAAGCTAGATCGTGGTCTTGACTTTACCATTCAAGGTGGAGCTAAAGATCTCGTTGCAACGTTTAGTCAAGGTCAAGCCCAATTGCTTTGTATTGCAAGAGCATTGTTACGTCCATCGAAAATTCTGTGTATTGATGAGGCTACAGCATCAATTGATGAGGAGACGGAGCGTATGATTTCAGAGGTAGGAACATCTTTTCATGATTTGAGACTTGTGTTTAAATTCTTACTCTTTTATTACAGGCCATTGCTTCTGAATTTGCAGCGTCTACGGTGCTGACTGTAGCTCATCGTATACAAACAATTTTACATTGCGAACGTGTATTGTTGCTGGAAAATGGTCGCATTGTCGAAAGTGGTGCTCCGAAAGAGTTGTCCCAGACTCGCAGTCATTGTTCTACCGTTTGGCGAATTCATCAATGAACAAGACAATTTTTTCTTAAATTTTAGCAATTGCAGAAGTCACTTTAATGACAGTAGGCAAGGAAAACAAATATATCAAACTTCAAAAACTAATACAATTTGATAGCATGAAGATGGTGTGTCGTACCCAAGTAACTTACAACACCACCAACCATCGATAATTTTATCAACAATGCCGCGTAAAGGAGGCAAGCGCGTATGTATCTCTATCGTTTTTAATCTCAATTGAATATGCTCCAACGTTAACTCTACTTACTCACTTTGATATTGCCATTATTGTGCTGCAATATTTTCAGAGAAAAACTCGCACGCATGTGGTAGAAGCTCCTAACGTCGAGAAAGACAATACACCCATGAGTTTTGTCTTTAAAATGGGTAAAGTTCCTGGTGTTGTTAGTAGCCTTGTACAGGATGTGCGTCGTGTTATGGCTCCATACACAGCCGATAAGTTACGCGAGAAACGAAAGAATACGCTGAAAGACTTTGTGCATGTTGGTGCACCTCTAGGCGTCACACACTTCATTTTCTTCACTCATACCGAGGCTGGTACAAATTTGAAGATTGCACGCATTCCACGTGGCCCAACATTGTCCTTTAAAGTGACCAAATATTCGCTTATGGGACAAATGCATCTGGTAGTTAGACGCCCCGTGGATGCAACGCAAGCACTCAAGTCGAAACCGCTTGTGGTACTGAATAACTTTACGGCCGTTGACGACCATATCAAGCTGATGAATGTAACGTTTCAAAACATGTTTCCGGCTATTGACGTTCAAACAGTCGCGCTATCTGAATGCAGACGTGTTGTACTGTTTAATTATGAAAAAGAGTCGGATACGATTGAGTTTCGTCAGTACGTAATTCGTGCAACACCGCTCGGTCTTTCAAAGAGTGTCAAGACTATTGTGAAAGCTAAAATACCCAATTTAAATAAACTTGAGGATATTAGCGAGTATGTGTTGGGCAACGGTGCTGGCATTGGATCGGCTTCAGATAGTGAGGTGGATGATGAAGCCGCACATGTAACATTGCCAGACTCATTTCGTGGACGTGGCAATCAAAAGGCTGAAAAAAGTGCTGTACGATTGACAGAAATTGGCCCGCGGCTTACACTTAGCTTGACTAAGGTAGAGCGTGGTATCTGCGAGGGCGATGTATTATATCATGCGTTCAAGACTAAAACACCGGAGGAATCTTCCAAGGCTAAGGCGAAGCACGAAGCCGCTTTGGCGCTCAAGCGTCAGCGTCGTGAAGAACAAGAGAACAATGTTGCAAAAAAGAAGGAAATCAAGGAGGCCAAAAAGCAGCAAAAGGCTGAGCGCAAGCGAAAGCGTGAGAATGAAGAAGACTTTGATGAGACTACTGCAGCAACTGGGGGCATAGAAGACGACTCGGAGCTTGACGACGTCGAATATTATCGACAGGAAGTTGGGGAAGAGCCTGAAACGTACATGTTTCCGGACAAGAAGAAGAAACAAAAGAACAAACAGCAAAAGGTTGATGGCTTAGGAAATACTCGCCTGCAAAAACCTTCGGAGGTGGCGAGCTCCGATAAGAAAAGTCGGTTCTTGAAGCCAGGCATTAAAGCTCCTAAAGGCCAAGTCATTCGACAACGTCAGTCAAAGAAAACGTAAAAACACTTTTTGATAATCTTCTTTTCGATTCTTCTGGACAGCCAGGTTGTCACATTAACTCTTTCGCAATCAATTTGAGTAAATTCCAGTGCGATGCAAGCTCACCAGTGTGACGAAAGACTGGGTATCTTCATGGCAAAATCGCGGTTATTGTCTTGATCTGAAAAAAAAACATTATCGTTTAATCTTGTTGTTAGCCTCAACGAGCCGTTTGTCAGAAGTTAGCAGCCGGACACCTGCACCAGTATTTTCAAACCTTACTCTTAGATGCCTTTCGGAATCTAACAAAATTGAATCAAATCGTCCTTATTTCTATACAGTTTAGGTCGTTACTTGCCTTGGATCCGGCGGAGACGACTGTTTCGCTTTCCAAAAATTATCTTGAAAGCCTCCTCCAGAGAAGCTCTTGATGGAAATTCAAATATGCAGTTGTTTCTCATGCGAGGGTGGTTGCAAATTTATCACTAAAGCACTTCGTTCATTTCTTGATGCATTCAGGAAGACCGATTCGTTCATGGACACTAAGCCATCAAAAGTTTAGAGCTTGCAAATGTACTACAATAAGAGTCTGACATGCGTCTACTAGTCGCGACAATCTATCACAAAAAAGCGTAGTCAGCATCACCGCAAGTTCGTGGGGTTCGAAGACAGTTGATTCTTGACATTTAAACAATACAAGGACCCAAGAAACAAATTCATCACATGAGCAAATCAACTATATCTCTAAGCCATTCGTTTGCCAAATTTCACCAAATTACGTTAAAAACTCTTCAAAGTGCTAGAACTTGTCACTGCATCAATACTTGTCTGATACTACAAATGGTCGCACATTTGTCTTCGAGCCGCACTGTGCATGCACGATGTGCCATATCACGTCGGTACAGTGTGAGCTTACTTAACAGCAGAGTGAGTACAGGTAATCCTGCTGGTATGGATTGATATTGATCCAGTCTTGTCTTTCGATATTAAGCAATCGCTTGTCATCTAGTATGGCAAATGATCGACCTCTCAACCATCATTTTGATCGATTGTTATACTTTGCTGGTCTACATGTGGTCGACATCTTTAGTGACGATTGACGATAGATCGCTACATCATTAGTGTCCAGAGTTTTGCTAAGATCCAGATAATTATTACATTCAGTCTAGATTTATACTCATATGTTACTCGGAAAAATTCATTACAAAAAATACTTGACAATTCAAGACCTTTTTGTTGAATTCATGTTTTGTCTTGTAGTAACTTTCCAACACACACAAACCTTAACAAGGCTACTGAGTTTCAATATGCAAATGAAAAGGAGAGGATGTTGAGCAATAGTACAGACTTCACCTTCTGCCTGGGGGAGGCTGAAGCGACGGATGGGAATGCTGCTTGGGATCACTCATTGGAATGGGAAAGCGATCACGACGTCCACCCTGTGAAACACCAGAGGGTCCACCCAAATTTTTTGGATTCAAACCAGCAAGACGTTGTGGCGGTGCCTGAAGCTTGCGATCACCTCCGTCCATTGCGTAGCGCATTCCTCCGACCTTATTTTCCTCCTTAATTGGCCGACCTGGCATTCCTCGACGACCATCTTGATGCATGTGTACAGCCTGCACATGTTGCTGCTGAGCTTGCAGCTGAGCCTGCATTTGTGCATGATGATGAGCGTGAGCTGCTTGAGCTGCTTGAGCCGCTTGAGCTTGAGCATGAGCATGAGCCTGAGCTTGAGCATGAGCCTGAGCTTGCGGGTGCTGCGATTGCATCTGTTGAGCTTGCTGCGCGTGTTGCATACCAGGCACCATACCACCCATGACACCACGAGGCATCATACCGCCGCCATTCATGGGAGCACTACGTCCCATACCACGCATCATATTCATTCCCGCGCTACCCACGGGTACTCCACGTGCAATGCTACTAGAATCTGGACCATTTGCGCTCATGGCATTCGTCGTTGGTGCGCTGCCAATATTCATATTCATGGGAGCTTCACCCGCTCGAAGCATATGAGCCATTGGAGCACCTTGACTGACTTGAGGAGCACCATTTGGCTGGGCACCTTGTGTAGGGGCACCCTGCTGTGCTTGGTATTGAGAATCTGCTGTAGGTCTTGACGAAAATGTCGGCATTGGGGAAGTGGTCGGCGGCTCGGAAGGACCAGGAGCCGAATTTGCCCCAGCCATACCAATAGTAGATTGACCGGTCTCCCGAACACGTAAAAGTTCCAAGCGCTCGCGAATGAATTGGGCATCAGCACCTAGCTCGGCTGCTTTTTGGTATGCGTCACGAGCATCACTAGTTTGGTTGCATGTATCGTAGAGTGTTCCGACGTTGTACCAGACTTCGCAAATATTAGGATTGATGTTAATAGCGCGTGAGTACGCATCCAACGCATCAAGATGCTGGTTCAATTGATAAAACAGTACACCAAGCGAGCACCACACATTGGGATTTTGAGAGTCCGTAGTTACAGCGTGCTTATACGAGTCGTAGGCTTCTTCAAATTCTTGTACAGCCATATAACACCTACCTAAAAGGTACCATCCTTTACCGTCTTGCGGATCAATAGCAACTGCTTTTTTAAGATAGTCAATAGCAGGCGGATGTTCACTATGTTTTAAACAGAGCCATCCAAGTTGCTGCAATGGCTTAGCATTGTTGGGGTTAAGTTCTGCCACCTTGAGGTAGCTCGATTTGGCAAGCTGAATCTCGTCTTTTAACTCGTATACGTGTCCGATTTGCGTCCAGATATCACTGGCCATCTCGGTAGTTTGTACATTAGCTTGTACATCATGTAGTACTGAGTTAAGACGTTCTAAAGCACCGTCATAATCTCCACGCTGTTTAGCGATGATTCCAAGACGGAATTTCACCTCAAGTGCCATATTAAAGTTTGGCTCAAAACGTAGCACGGCTTCAAAAGATTCCTGTGCGTGCTCAAGTGATCCAAGACGCTCGTATAGCTGACCAATGCCGTACCACATATTTGGGTCCTTCTGACTCATCGGGTTGTTGTACATTGCATATTGGTACGCCGTATGCGCACTCGTTAGATCGTTCATCATAAGGCAGCAGTAGCCTAAATGACCCCATGCGTCCGAATTTTGTTCATTAAGGGATACCAGACCACGAAAACAGTCCGCAGCCTTAGTATAATCCTCCACTTTCTCATAGCAACATCCAATAGCAAACAACGCAGTAGCATTTAAACGATTATGCGACAAAACCTTCTCATATGCAAGCATCGTATTTTCATCGTCACCCATCATCTCAGCAATTCGACCAAGCGATAACCAAGCTTCTTCATTTGCTGCAGATAGCTGACGACCAAGCTGGAACATTGTCACGTGTTAACTCGCTAAAATCTCATCACTCTCTCGTTATGTAAAACGCACCGTATTGCTCTCCTCCATTTTCGGTGTAGCCATGTTGCAATTCACGACACGAACGGGAAGCGACGCAGCCTTGTGACTGTGCACGTTATAAATGTTCGTGTCTTCTTCTTTGGCTTGCGCACAAGCCAGCGGTTTATCAACTGTGAAGGCTTTTTGATGGAGGGTGGGGGGCATCTGGGACGAGAGGGGGGGTCAATTTCCGGAGCGACAGGGGAATAAAAATCAGTAACCCTATTCTCTTTAAAACGGTATGCTAGACAATAAATAGTACTGCTGCCGTTACATCCGAACAGCTTTTATACTGACAGATCTTAGGGTTTAAGCTTTACTATTATTAGGAAATTCTCAAGACAAAACTAAATTAAGATTAGTAGCAATCAGATGGCAAACCTATATGTACAACGACAGTCGCGCGTGACGAGCGTGACAGACGAACAAACTGAAGTAGCCAATCCACGCTCACTAGCACCTTCAACGACACGTCTGAGCCCAGTTCCCTCGTCATCATACGGAAAGAGCGCTAGGATCGGTTTTGTGCTTTTTTCCATGTTATTATCATGAAAATAGATCACGTGAATAAACTCGATGTGACTGGCGAGAACTAGCAAGGCCGTTACACGAAAGTTTGATATTAATTGTCAGAACAGGCACGAAGAATGGTCTGAATAGTATGGATGAGGAGAAATTTCTGGTAATTTAGCACTTGAGATACGGTGCCTGATGGCAAGCGTATGGTTAAGGGCACAAAAGAGAACATGAAGAAGATTATGTAAATAGAAGATAAAGTGATTCCAAGCCAAACTGTGTTGATAGACTGAAGATTCATCACTAAAATTTTCGAGTTTAAATATTGCAGCTCGGGGTTATTTAATTTAGTTCTGGAAAATTGAATGACAAGAAGAAAAGCCACCCTGGCTTGCACAGCACAAATTATACTGCCCATGTGAATCCACAAAAACACAGACAACCACTCAAATTAAAACGTAATCGTACTCTGGAATCGTACTTTGGAATTGTACTGTACTAGTCTAGCGAGCTACGTTTACAGAACTCCAAATCTCAGTCGATCTTCACTCTACCATTATTCTTCCTAGTTCCTGGGATTTGTTTCTTGCTGTTAGCGACATATACACGCTATATTTTAGTTTTTTTCACCAAGGACTACGGATTTTTGAGCTGTTGCAAAGCTTATCCAGATAGATATAAATAAGCAGCAGAATCTCTTCTTATTCAATAAGACATAATCAGACTGACGACAGCATGGAACAAAACAATCATTTTGAAATCCTCGATTGCGATCGCCATGACCCCACATGAAATTTGAAACAGGAGAGAAAGTGATCGATCATCGCTAGATCCTAATCACTTACATGCTTAGCGCCTACTACTAACCGGTATGAGGCCTCGTTAACGCTAGTACTATAATCCTTAGACGTCCTCACAAATGTCTGTAGTTGTTACGATCATGCTGCACTAAAATTTAAGAGTAACGGCTGTTATATCCCCGGCCTTCAAATCCGTAAACAATTCTTCAAATCTTTCAAAACCTTCACGCATCATCGTGATATTGTTTGGAGCTTCCTTGGATGCTGCAAGGACAGTTTACCAAATTGAAATACCTCAACGCAATCTATCTTTCTATCGCGTCTAGCTGCAGCGGCTTTACATAACTTTCAGAAGCGTTAGATTTAAGCGATACTTCGTTAGAAGATTAACTTAATGCAAAAATCGACGCTTTTAATCCGATATATCTTTTTATACTTTTTAAAAAGATTAGCATCACTCCTATTTAGAAGTCATTTAAAATAAGACTCTATCTCGACTCTAATATGTATGGTGAAGAGGCAGGCCAAAAATGATGCCTCCTTGTGAGAAACCTTACAGTAGTAAGGATAGGCATAACGGGGTACGTATCCAACTTGATGGTGCGACCTAAGTGTAACAGTTTTTGGTGTAGCTATGCAGACTAGTTCTTGTGCAAATGAGAATGATAGTACGAATATATGCCATCATAATAAATAGTAATTATTATAGTATTGGATTACTTAACTTAATTCTAATTATAAATCTTGACTTTAAAGTTAAGTCTCACGGTTCGGCAGTTGGATAGTGCCAAACCCATCATATGTGCGTCAAATCAAAGCTTCGTCTGTGCGAGGTGGACTGTTCACGTTCATCGAGTAACACTTGTCGCCGATTTGAAGACCGGGCCTGAATCTCTGAAAGGGGAAGTACTGAGAACCTATCACATTTGGAACGAAAGTATTAAATACGATAGTGCACAACTGTACAACATTCACATTTCACTTTGGTATATTGACAAGTATTGGAAATGATGGACTTCATAATCAAAGGGTCCATGGTACACACAAGCTGCTAGACGCAAAAAAGTGATGTACCTTCGTAGTTTTAGTCTAAGTAATACGCTTAAAAATAGAACTAATCAAGCCTCTTGGTAAGGTAGAAACTCTTGGTTTCGCTCTTGGTAGGAAAGCACGAGCTCAATACTGTGGATTTGCTAGTGCGAGCTCATAATGCCAAGATGTTTTTGTGCAAACTGTGCGACAACCCCATTGCAGTATCCGATGTATGTTTCCTATATGTTCTCGATACAGTAAGGTACTCACAACGAGCTTATGCCTTTAGTTGGCCCCCAGCACACAGATCAATTGGCGACCCAAGGACCGACAGCGCTTATGGCTCGTCTGGGGATGCTTGCCAGCAAGGAAAATATTTATGAGGCGTCCATCGACGATGACCCGCGCCTAAGATTTTTTTAGCCTAGCGTCGGTGAGAACACAATCATCTCTATCAGTTAGACTGCCAAACTAAGGCATCCGGCGCTGAGGATACATATATCTGTGGATAAAAGAGGATAAAATGGCCAAAATTTTAGCCATTCCCCATACGAAGCATCGGTGCATCCCGCAAGATGTCTTGAAGGTAGGTGGACGCGCGAGAGAATGGGCAGTTGAGTGGGAGACCTATATAAAAGAAATAATACAAACCAAAGAAGAATTTAAGCCTCGCGAGTGTTCGCAACGAACATTCGACGTACCGGTAGCAATCAAAATTATTGCCGACCGTCAGCGGAGGCGATACCTGATGAAAAACATGTCTTTTGCCCGGAATGACAGCAGAATCTATTCCAAAAAACAGTTATGGTATACTTCTTCGCGAAAGACTACTAGCTCGCATCATAAGCTTTCCTTTCTAGAATGCGGTGAATGTCGTACTGTGTAAAATACACTTTTGTGGAACGAAGACCGATAGAGTGCGAATTGAAGGCTATATCTGCGCGCCATAGTCGATGGACCTCAACCAGCTGTGAAAAATAAGGGCGAACTTTGCGACCAAACTTAAGGTGTTACAATTTTGATACTACCAATAGTTTCTGTCCTAAATGTCCTATTTGTCGTGGCTGAAGGTTATCAAAGCGTGATACCGCGCAGGGTTCTTCTTGTTGAGAGTTATCGAATCCAGATTCCTACTAAGTAGTTCTCTTCTGCTGTAGGACGGTTGAGATCACTAGAATCTGATTCTAAATTAGCATTATTTTTATCAAAAAAGGCGGGGCCCAATAGCCATGGGTGTTGATTGTCAACATAAATGTCCCGGGCTACGAGAAGCAATGAAAATTACTGAATTTCAGGGGCGTTGATCAATCGCATACGATACACAACCGTCAAATATACCAGAGGCATTAAGTATGCCGAGTGTGAATACCATTTCCGTGTGTCTTGCGACGAAAACATGTCAAAATGTTCTGTTAAGATTTACATACTTTGACGGTGTGTAGCCATATGCCTGAATTTCGGATACTAAATCATCCTAGGATAGGAACATCATGGACAGTGAAATGTCCGAAGGTCAAAAGTGCAGTATATCACGCATTTTACTCTTGACGAAGCTTTGGCGATTCATGAAATTACCTCTGCCAGGAAAAAGAGGCACATTTGGCGCAGGTATAGAGCAGCGGTAGCTCTGGTGTAGGACACGTGATTAATCAAACAAGATAGCAATGACAATGAAGTCAAGGCAGGAGCACCGGTGATCTGTGCTGTCCAGGATTGTCCTGGAGAATACATCTGTAAGCGTTTGTGTGCCAGAGACTATTCTAGTAAGAAAGAGAAGAGCGACCCAGGGTGCCGCAGCACCCTGGGTTTGATCCGTGGAGACGAGTCAAGCGAGGCAATAGCAGCTTATTGCCGCTTCCCTCAAAATAAATCTCTTGGAGACGTTAAATCAAGAGGAAAAGATCCAGGCCCTAGTTTACATATTCAAGGTCGTTTCTGAACACGACGTCAAAATATCGCCGAGTCAGAATACCGTGATACTATATGGAGCAGCGAAGCCCCACAGGTTTGTAGCATATTCTTATCAAACACCCGCGCTGCTTCGTAAATCCATAAAAATCTTTGGTCAAATATAAAGACTTTAGAGGGAAAGAAAGCAGCTTTGATCTCAACAAGGCAGAAATTATTTTTTCTAGTTTTTATAGCCCTCTATATAGTGTGATGTAAAGCTGTTGCGCTCATGCTTTGAATAAGTGTGAGCGCATGCGATAACTAAAGCTGTAAAAACTACACTCAAGTAAGGAATATCATTAACTCAAAGCCGTTTTTGTTGCCAACATAATACATTGAACAGCTCGGCAACTTGTATTTTTCAATCCATGAAGAAAAAAAAGCATTCAAGTCACTCTTTTGTCAGCATGCAACGTAAGCGCAAGAAGGCCAGTAAGATTGCGAAAACGTTAAATAGCGAGGTCCGAGCGACACATCACATATCGACATAAAGTGTAGCTCAGTAGGTGAATACCGTATCGTTGTATCATCGTCGGAACTTCTACGGATTAGGGTGACAGGACAGCTCGATGATGAGGCCCATAGACCAGACAATAAGATCACTTTCAATGTGTTTTTTCTAATATATATCCAAGGAAAACCCGAGGACAGCAATCTACAGCGACCAAAGTTTCAACTGCGTGAAATTGACTTAAGTCATTTTACACTCCGAAGGATGATAGATGAGTGTTGATCGGACGCAACTGTGGTGTAAATAGTGGACCAGCGCACTACGCTATGCGCTTATGCTCCTGTTTTATCAAAATGACATCGTCGAAATAGGTCTGGGTGGATAGTTAGCTAGTGAGTGTAAGCCGTCGACAATTTGCGCAGGACGTGGTAGGCAAGAATATCCTATCTTGACGAATTTAAGTGTGTAGGAAGTTGGGACACATGTTGGGCCATGATATCACAATTGCTGTTGGTGTTGACTACCTCAATCAATTGCTGGCGACAAGAGCAACATTGAGGAGCTGAATTACACATTGCTGCTCGCTATTACAGCAAATGTCCTAGTTTCGAATAGAATCGCTCAGTCAGTGGTTGGTTGCTAACTAGTCTTAGCATTTCACATTTAATCAGGATCGGGCTTTCCGGAAATCAAGACCACAAGTAAAATGCACAAGTCATGCTTTGATGACTGAAACAAAATAAAAATTATCGTAAGATGTCTAATGGAAGTCATGGATTCGTTGTTATCACATGAAAAAATCGGGACAAAATCTAGAATGCTGACTATGCGGCGGACACGACTGACCACAATCTATGACAGGGTGCGCAATCGCTATCGATGAGAGTATAGGGTATTTTGGCTGGGTTAGAAGCCGGCTGACGTGGCAATAGCAATAGCGGTAGAGTGTGTGGCATGGTTCTCAACGGAAATTTTCTGCAATCTATCTTTCGCGCACGATTAAGAAGTCAAGAACGTGATTTTTGATGGTTAAATGACTGAATTATGGCGAGCGGAATGGAGCCTGGAAAGTGCTTTGGATGTTAACACACACTTTAGATCTGCTTACCATCATGTCTAAGCGCATCAGGTCAGACCAATATATGTCCGTCCGATTGACATGGCGGAGGAATAGATGGCTAATGCATTGCCCAAAATCAGGATTGTATTTCTGTTGAAAAAACACAGCATAATGAAGACCGAAGGTGCGTGATAGGATAAAAATTCTGGATGGAATTACACTCTGGCCTTTCGTCTAAATTTTCAAAAACATTGCGCCGCAGTGGCCGTGGCCGTTACATCCGAACATGAATGGCTCATTTGGTGTCTTTTCAACTCTTGGTAAATAATCATTTGTCGACGAAAGTACATGTTTCGCTCCTAGCATCATAATCGGAAGCGACGACGATTTTACCGACAAACATACGGTGTTAAGATTTTGCGCTTGATACTACTAGATGCTTAGCAGTTAGGAACTGGAGCTATGATACTAAGTACTTCTTACCTTTGCTTTTGTTGGCTTTGACTAAAAGAACATACCAGTATTGACCCGGTTGCGTGGGTCAGGTGGTCAATGCTTCTGGGCCTCACGGTGTGTGGTGCGGGTTCGGCCCCCTAAGCGGACAAAATCGTAATCGAACCAGACGTGAGAGAAATGTCGGCTGCCTGCTAAATCTTTCCGACTACAGCCAAAATGGACCTAGAGATGGCGACTCGTACAGGAAAAATCAAGAAGAAATACCCCAGCGGAATTTAGGTAATATCTTAGGGCCGAGTAGGCATAGCCGTTAATACATAGCAACTATCAACTGAACATACCCAGTATTAAGTAAAGTGGAATCCTATTGGACTCATAGATCGGCGCTATCGCTCACAAATCATAAATGGGTTTAAGACAAATGCGATCCTGACATGAGCGGATAATGATTTACACAGAATTTAGTTACTCACATGCAGCCTCGGCGATCGAGCTAAGTTTGCAAATGGGATTTCAGCTTAATGCACAGGGTGTGTAATCAGGCCACCGGCTATCAACACCGGTGCTTAATCGTATGGCTATGTATACGTACCCTAGGTGGTACACAAAATTATAACTTTCAATTTTGAATACTCAAATTTGAATACATAAACGGTTTTATGCATCAATTTAAGTGTTACAATTGAGGCACAGCTGCTGTTGGTGTCGTGATCTGCATTGCGACTATATTATAGCTGTAAATAGCAATGTGATAGACTGCACCGCGATGGTTTCATCACAGCAGCTGTTGATGGCGTGGTGCAAGTTAAATATTGGTGTACCGTGAGGGAAAGCTGAGAAGAATTGCAAGTATAATGTTAGAGAGAGCATGAAATGCTGGATAGGAACCAGATTGTTTTAAGCGTCTATGATCCGTGGTATATCACATCGGCGAGCACGTGTCGCATGACCAAGATTCAACTCATGCTATTTGTATGGGAAAAACGCGACCCGAAGCTTGTGAGAACATTCGTGCACAGGAATCTTGCTTTGTGAAAAGCAATAATGAGTTTTTGACCAACGCGTATCTTGGATGCTTGTTATGCTAGATCGCATTGGAGCAATTACAGTAAATTTAGCACAACCTTCTCGGATTCAACATTTTAGCATAATGTTAATCCGAATTTGTAAAGCTCGGCGCATACATCTAGCAGGTTTAATCTTCATTACTTCCATCCGTCGTATCACTGTATCACTCAACGACGTGCAATAATCATGAGCTAGACATATTTCGCATGACGCGTATTTTATTATAGTTGTCGAGTAATTCAACTATTCAATGCAATCTAGTAGTCATAAAATCATTTGACAACTGTCTGCATGTAAACAGCGGCTTCTTGTAGTGCCAGTTCTGGTCCCAACCTCGAACCAAAAAGCTTTTTTGACCTTTTCTGATACTGATGAAAACTGGTCTATGCAATTGTGACTACCTGTAAGAAAACAGAAGAAAACAGTGCCCATTATCAAAATGGGAGACCGTAGCATTCTGATGGACTTCCTTTTGGCGAGCATTGCCACGAGCGGTGCTTGCGTAGTATCTAATCCAATGGAAGTTGTCAAGACGCGCATGCAGCTTCAGGGTGAGCTAGCACACAATGTGACGCATAGTGCAGCACCAGTGGTGCAATACCGTAACTTTGCTCATGCCTTCTACACCATCTGTCGCACCGAGGGCATCTACGGCATCCAACGTGGCCTTGGGCCTGGCATTTCGTACCAGATTTTCATGAATGGACCACGTCTTGGATTGTTTGAGCCGCTTCAAAAAGTGTTTGGGGCTACAGACCCTACGTCTTACTGGTTTCCTGTGCGAAATGTTTGCGCTGCAGCCACCTCTGGAATGGTTGGCGCATGTGCTGGAAGTCCATTTTTTCTTGTAAAGGCTCGAATTCAGGCAGCAAGCTCGGCCGGAAAGATCAATGCACAATATGCATACAACGGAATGGTATGAGTGAATGCCGAAAGAGTAAAATGACGTACTGACGGATTGAGCTAATTTATGGCTGTAGATTGACGGATTTCGGCAAATTATTCAAGCAGAAGGACTAAAAGGACTATATCGAGGTGCGACAGCATCGATACCACGTGTAGCAGTGAGTTTTAGAATGTATATTGATATTTGAGAGGTACAGCTTGACATGAGAATAATTGTCTGGCATAGATTGGTTCTGGTACACAGTTAGCGACATACACGCAGGCAAAAAATGTTGTTCTTGCTGCAGGTATTGAGAATGGTGTAAAGGTTCATCTTGGATGTAAGTTTTCATCTTGATTGATCATCAAAAGGGTTCGGAGCTAAGCAAACGTTTATTTCAAATAGCAAGTATCTTGACGGGCCTCGTGGTGACTACAGCAATGAATCCAATAGATGTAGTGTCAACACGCCTTTATAGCCAAAAAGTCGTGAAAGGAAAAGGAAAACTTTATTCAGGCGTTTTGGACTGTTTTTCAAAGACAATGAAGAGTGAAGGGCTTCGCGGGTTTTACAAGGGCTGGTCAGCTCATTACATGCGGCTAGGACCACACACTGTCTTTACGTTTCTATTCTGGGAGGAAGCTAAAAAAGTCGCTTCTGACCTTGGTTATTAGATTTTTTAAATAGAGGGACTTGATTACCAAGTGATATCTTGCTATTGTGCTACTGTTCAGATGCTTTTTGAGTTTTGTATAAAACATATATTTAAAGCCTGCGAAGTTTGAGTAATAAATTTAGCGACAATATAGCTGTTTGTCATCTAAAAAGTTAAGTTACTGCTGTGAGTAATGTAAATTACTGCATGAAACTGTATCTTGATGTGATTGTATGCAATGAATTGTCTTGGGGTATTTGAATGATTTCGAATATTTCTGTCCAAGAAAGTCAACAAGATTTCGAAGATATTGAGCCTTTTTTCGTATAGAAGCAGCGATCGAACTAATTTCTTTAATCTACATCATGTTCCTCTTCAACTGCTTCATCAGCGGACTCGTTGAAGGAGATATCAATAATTACGCCTACATTATGTAGCTTTGCGATGGCACTGTCGAAAACATTTAACCCCCGTAGAAGCGTCTTTCTATCATTTCGTTTTCTGGTCTAGTCAGAATAAGCAATAGCGTCATCAAAATGTATGAGAATCGTGACTATTGACTTTCCATTGTGCACGATCGCTGGATTTTAACTCTGATTTGTAGCTTTACATAAGTTGGAAAGATTTTGGGCATGGCTCGCAGTAATGTGCGGATTAGCTCCAATGTAAAGTACGTGCTGGATATCGGTTCATCGTACGATGCGAATATTATCAGCTTTACTACAATTGACAATGACAGTAATCAACTCTCCTGTCACTGGAGGCAATGGTGACTGCAATGTAAAGGATTGTAATTCAATTTTTTGTTAATCTTCGTTACTCGTTGCTGGTTGTAATGTCATATCTGCTCATAAATGCAGATGATTCTTATCAAACGCTTGTAAGAAATACTTGAGTATGATTTGTTGTCTTTGTATAGTTATTGCTCGCTACTGAACCGGTATAAGATGTACGTATAAAATGTTTTGTCTTCAAACAGTTATGCTTGAAGCTTATCCCACTCGCCATCAGGTAGGCAGCTGATCTCAAATACCAGCAACGCTAAGTTTGTACGTCAAAGTCAAGAAAAATAAAATTGGCTGCGGATAGAGTAGACGCTACTAATACTACGTCATTGCAAACAATAGTTTTAATTGAACCATGACTTAGTAATGATGAATGTTACAAATTCAGACATTCACGGCATAGAATAACTTTCTGCTGTTTCGTCCTTATTACTACCAGCTCAGGTGATGAGCTTATGATGACCATAAACTCTTCTGCAATGCCAGTCACGCTTTTAACTGAGATCAAGACGTGGTCTTCCTTCACGAAGATTTTATCGACAATATGAGTAATTTAATGCTGCAATTAGTCTTCGCGATACTTCTTGTGTCCAGAACAAGGTCTCAAGTTTCCAATAATGTTACTTTCAAGCTAGCTCCAATTGCGTCAGCATCACCACAATCTACTACATTTACCCTTGTGAACAACAACAACTGCAACGTCACGGTGGTCACGCAGATTTACGAGCTATACGCGAAAAACAGATTGGTCTTTCAGACCTGTGTGTCCGACGGACAGTACACGGTCTTTCCATATACCGGCATTCTTCCGACACCCCAGCAAATAAAAAGCATGTCTGGATCGCTCGCATGCCGTGCAGTCTTTATGTCCCTTTTACTTTGTGGAATTCCAGAATGTGTGATATCAAATTTGTCCGTTCGTGCAGCTGTGGAGACTTTGCTCAAAATTGGGACAGATATGGATATTTACCCCGACGCTAGTAATGTAGTTCCGTTCACCGATCGATTTGTTGAAATGGTGCGTTGGCGTCGCGATGTGAATTTAGCTCAAGCTGCACATCTTCCCTGCGATTCCGGTTCGAAACTGTATGCTGAATACGCTAGTAATTTATTTTCGATTACTACCAGTGGATTGTACCGCTTGACGTCGGATAAAGAAATTCAATTTCGCTTGACAATTAATGAAGAATTTAGTCAAGATCTGATCATCGCGAAGCCAAGTGTGCTTGAACTTCAGGGTTCCGGCAGTGGCATTATGGTCGTGGTTGTATCACCTACAGAAGGATCACAGGGTTCTTCATCAACAACAATAGATGTTGCAGTATCAGATGTTGAACCAAAAGCAATCTCTAAGGAAAGCTTAATTTCTCCGGTGATCGAGATATCTGATGCGATATCAAGAGACGCTACAGCTCGAATGTTTTTAAGCCGCTCTATTGTAGTGATGATTTGGACTTTTTTCATGTTGATATGAATGTTTCTCTTTCTAAAAGTATTTGCAATGTTCGATGTCTTTTAAATTGATGTCATCACGGAAGTATAATCATCTATATGATCACAATTATTGACAATTTCAATTATTGCTATCACAGGAAACAGAGGGGCTTTCATCGATAGAGAATGTTGTTTGCTCGCCAACTTAGTTTCTGTACAATTTATCATTGAGCAATCTCAGTCGTGCGCGAGCCTCTCGCGATTTCAAACTTACACACCTTTTTTCCACAAGAGCTTGATGTTCTCTTAGGTTGCTTTCATCAATGGGGAGATAATAGTTCTGGTTAACTCTCAAAGAAGAATTATATTTTGTTTTTCTTTAGAAAGATTCAACAATTATGCAGTGCATGGACAAAATAGCACCGTCATTCGACATCTACTTGGCCAGGCGTGAGAACTCATAAACTATCCATAATGTAAGTTCTGACAAACCAATTTCATCTTGTCGCTAAGTTTGATACGTGCAAAATTGGTGGCGCAGGCTAATATCTTACGTATCTGGCAATTGTTATCGGATATACTTAGAATAATATTGCTCTTTCAATAGCTTAAATTCTGACGAACAAAGTGCTTCGTGGCGCATTAGAACATTATTGAGGCGTTTCTTACCAATACGGTAGGCAAGAGAAGAGAATAATAGCTCCGACTTTCGTTTCTTTCGTGGTTGGTTCTACGAGCCTCGATCAGAGTCACATTGAGCAATTGACCAATTGACCGCGTTTTGATCAAAAATAATTGTTTAGACCTAGTTCTCCATGCTGCGTATTTTTATCGCAGATTATTAACAGCAGCTTCTATCACGACAGCGGTGTATTATCTATGCTAAAAGATTTGTCAGTGACATGGTGAAGACGGTACGACACTTTCTTAAGGCCAATGACGACATGTTCAAGAGGCGCATTGCCTACAGTCTTCCCATATAAAGGCACTTTACCATTGTAACTAGAGTCGTAATACTTAGAGCAGTAAGCCAGCAGTTTTTTTCCTTGTGCAATTACATTATGAAACAACGTCCACAGTCCAATACTTGAGATTTGATACGTTCATCCCACCTCTTAACACCCAGAAGCAGAAATGAATGTTGGTACAGCAGAGAAAATGATTACGACTTTATTCGACAGCGACAATCTAAACCCATTTTCAAGCATTGATATCCTGTATTTTTAACCGTAGATTATCTTGTGGCTCCAAGGAGAAAAATTCATCGCCAACCCATCTTATTTGTGCTTGATCGATTTGTGATCCAAGCGCCTCAATTTATTGTAGCATATGTAGTTTCTGTTTTAACCATTTCAAGATCGTGGCGCCTTGTAAAAGGAGGGTATGACCATTCCTTAGACAGATTAAGACCCGAAATCCATTAATCCGAACAATTGTATAGACGGCTTTAGCTTCATTTTCGATTGTCTGCTTCATATGTCAATATAACACATTCGCTCCCACTTCGGGCTCATTCTCAACTCTTTCTGTCTCACCTTGATTATGTTCCAGCTCTGACGTTGATGACATCTCCTTTGGTCACTTTACCAGAGCAATAAATTGCTATAATACTTTTCCAAGACGCCGGTGTAAAGCTTTTGCGCTATCCTCTTGGGAAACAGTTTATATATTCTCTACTTTAAGATCCTGTTGAATCGTTCAATTTTACCCATGGTTCCGTAATCAACGTGTTCGTAGTGAAATTGCTCAATTATCTTAGTTTGGAAACATTCTTAAGCCTGTGAGTTTATTAACTCGCTTCCATTATCGCTTGTCAGGATATTAATTGGGTGAAAATGAGCAAATGCTTTAAGCGCTGCTAACACAGTTGCCACCATCCTGTTTGATAAGAGCTTTGCGTACCCCAACCTTTAGCTGATGTTATAGCAGCCGTTTCTCTCAGAACGTTAAATCCATTTGCCACGAATTTGAATTGTAGGAAGCTATTTTGAAGCATTCAAGGCACTTCCTTTGATTAAGAAGTCGCTGAATAGAGATCTGATTTGAATGCCACTTTCTTACGCTTTTGATAGTAACCTTAGGGTCTAACTTCTTTGCCTCCTGACACAGTGCATGAGCCCCAATAAAACCGGCTTCTGGGCAGTTTACTTTAAAACGCGTCCATGATCTGTATTTCCATTTAAAAAAATCTTCAATGGTTAGTTGCTTAAATATTAAGTGCTTTCGTCGTGACACAATGATCACGTATTCGATGTTCGTCCTAGTATTATTGAGCGTTGTTTTATTTCGCTGATAGACCTAGTTTTTTTTAAAGTTTGAACTCCTACTTTGTACCTAGTAGCGTGATGTGATCTCGTACAACAGCTTTTAACCCATCAGGGTTAAAAACACCGTTCTTGCGACCAACTCTCTGCTAAATACCCTTCGCCGAATCTTTCAAACTGTGAGAGTCGTCGGTCGGTAGCAAGTATCATTCTTAATCGATAGTGAGATCATAGCATCACCTGACCATTAATCTGAGGACAAACCAGAAATACTGCTGTCAGACTTAGCTGCCTCACCACTGTTGTCGTGTGGAAACCAACTGTATATATGCTCGTTGAAATGGGCACGTTGCTCAGGCTTGATACAGTCTGGAATGGATTTTTACAGCCGAAAGCGATATGAACTGAATCAGTGTCCTCTTGATATTGGAAGTCAGAGCGGTCGAAGTAGAAGAATTTGCAGTCGTTGTAGATCTGAAGCAATAGCTTGGCAAGGGATAGATAGCAAGCGACTAATGGGTTGGGCTCGTTTGATTAAGCCAGCATTTCTTTCTGGTGACTTCACACGCAATATTCACTCTTCCGACCCATGGAAGGTGAAGTGGTTGGTCTTGATTTTGATAGCTTTACGTTGTCGCTGCGTCAAAATGCTGCTTTCAAAAATTAAAGCACGTTGTAACACTCCATTTGAAACATGTGACATGATGTCGCAGCTGCTGACAACGTGACGAACCTTTAAAAGCTTTTGCAGTTGTCGTTGCGTCAAAATAATGCGTTGAGGTAGTTAAAGTACGCTGTAACACGTTTGCAAAAACTTCAAGATAGATGTGACACGATATCACAGCTGCTGATATCGTTACGTAAGTCTGAATGAGTTTGCCGTTTTTGCTGCGTCAAAATGATGCGTCTATGTAGTAAAAGTACGCTGTAGCATGTCTGCAAACACTCCAAGAACGATGTGACATGATATCGCAGCTGCTATATCGGTACGTACGTATGAAAGCGTTTGCCGTTGTCGCTGCGTCAAAATGATGCTTCTCGGAAGTTAGAACACGCTGTAACACTTCATCATTCTACTTCAAAAATATGTGACATGATATCGCAGCTGTTGACAACGTGACGAACCTCTAAAAGCGTTTGCAGTTGTCGCTGCGTCAAAATGATGCTTCCAGGACGTTAAAGCATGCTGTAACACTTCGTTTAATACTTGAAAACATGTGACATGATATCGCAGCTGCTGATAACGCGACGAATATCTGAAGGGTTTGCCATTGTTGCTGCGTCAAATGATGCATCCGAGAAGTTAAAACACGCTGTAGTACGTCTGCAAACATTTCAAAGAACATGTGACATGATATCACAGCTGCAGATATTATTACATACGTCTGAATGCATTTACCGTCGTTGCTGCGTCAAAATGTAGCTCTTAGGTAATATTGTCGCTGTCAAAATGGTATGTCTAGGTAGTATTGTCGCTGTCAAAATAATGCGTCTTGGTAGCTTAAGCACGCTGTGACACATCTGCAAACGCTTTAAAGATCATGTGAAATGATATTTCAGCTGCTGATATTGTGACGAACCTCTGAAGGCGTTTCCGTTGTCGCTGCGATAAAGAATGTTTCCACGCTGTACCACGTCTCCAAATTCTTCAAGAATGATATCGCAGCTGCGATACGTGACGAACTTCTGAAAGCGTTTGCTGTAGTTGCTGCGTCAGAATGGTGCGTCTAGGTCCCTAACGTCATTGTAATACGTCTGTAAACACTTCAAAGAACAACTTACACATTGTTTTTCCTCTATATTTTTTATCGCTCAAGATAAACTTAGTTTTTATAAATTGAGGATTAAATCTGCCAGAGACAAATTTTAGAGTGATATGATTGGCTTAAATAATCTGCAGGTGATCTTCTTTATTCGGCTAACCTGAGGCGCTTCCTCATTGCTAGAACAATTTCAAAATAGCCTCAGTTAAGGTTTTATGTTATGTTTCGAGCTTCCAAAACCGCGTTCCGAAGAGGCTCCAAAATGATGTCGTACATACTAGAGTGCTTCAATTTGATGGTGAAGTGCAATTATTTGATAAATACTGGGAATTTTGGCTCCAAGTCGCGCGACTTATACTTGCCTTTGACTTATCAACGTCACTCTCTCGTTGAGCATTTCACACAACCTCCATAAAGAAATCAAACCTGTCAGAGCTGGCCTTGACAAAGCAGTAAGTCTTGGTTATTTCTATAGTATGAGATAGTTACCATTTAGGTGATGGGGTGTCGCTGAAAAATGGCTCACCAGAGTAGCCACCAAACAACTTGGAAGCTAGTTTTGCTCGGCTTTGCTTGCGCGCCTGATTGTGATTGAATATGTGCTTACCCACGACGCTCTCATTCGTAGAGTCGATCAGTATATTCCTAAAATTATAGTCATCTCACCAACGTACTTTTTGAGGTGTTCTGGTGTTCGAGTTTCACACTCACGCAAGTCAAATTCCTTGTCTACTTTGATGTCATCGATGATACCATTAAACGCTTTGATCTTAAGCAATCCACCGCATCACATCTCATTAACAAATCCTCGCACGTATAGTGTTCGCATCGTATCCGATAACTTTTTACTGACCTTGGCACCACCAATCTTTGTCCAATACCCTTAGCGATCAAATTTAATAGATGGGCCTCCAGCAAAGTTGGCCTTCATCTTAGAGCAGATAATCTTCTCCTCTTTGTCGATAAAGTAGACCAGTCTATCTGAGTTTAAAACAAGCCGCTTCTCATACGAA